TTCAAGAAAAGGAACAAAGTCTCCTGGATATCAAAGAGTGTATCTTAACAAGGGCAATTCATTGGTTGAGAACTTCAGAATTTCTCCATTTGTTCTCCTTTGATGACTTTAGAAGGAACTGGCTAGAGGTGGCTAATAGCTCTCTCAAGAAGGAAAGGATTTCTATAATATGGACTCCACTGCCGGAAGGTTGTGTAAAATTGAATTTTGATGGAAGCAATCAAGGCAGTCCTGGCCCCTCAGGTATAGGAGGGGTTTTGAGAGATAAGGACGGTAATATCTAGCCTTGTACTCGGGCCTAGTGGGAATAGGAGACTCAAATAGGGTGAATTGTTGGCAGCTTTACAAGGTATTCAGATTGCTAATCAACTTGGTGTTGAGAACCTTCAAATTGAAGGAGACTTTGAGATTATTGTAGGTTGTTCAGCAGATCCGAGCTCAGTCATTTGGTGCTACAAGAACATATCAAAGAAGGCCACCTGGTTGTTAAGAAACATGAGTGTTAGCATACAGTGGGTTGGCAGGTATGCAAATGCTATGGCAGATTATCTTGCTAAACAAGGGGTTTTGAGGGAACATTTGTACTGGGATACCTTGTAATCTTGATCTATAGTGCTATGTGATTTTCACTCTTTAAGGGAGGTCACACCTCGTGCCTCTCAGTGGGATGCTTGTAACAGTTCTCATATTTTCTTGATAAAATTCTTCTTCAATTGTCAAAAGAAAAAAAATATGAGGCCCTTGCCAATGTGAGGTCTGGGGAGGGACAGACGGGACTAAAACAAAAGAATTAAGGGTAAATTAAAGACACCCACCAGGCCACCCTGTACTTAGAGGGTGGGTATTCCATCAATTAAATTCATGAAGATCCCCATATGACTGTCATGTGCATGTTAAACATTTCTAAAACCTCTAAATACTTGTGTTATTTTATAAGACTATTTTACTCTTTTAATTTTGTTTTTTCCTAAAATCCTATCTCTCACATATTTCTCTCATCTTTTTTTTTTATCAGCAAAAAGATTTTATCAATAACAGAGAAATATTGAAATACAATAGTTATAGGTTGCAGAAAGCATTAACCCAATCTGCAAACACTACAAAGCATTTACAGTTCTGCCCAGTACAAGGCAGATCTAATTGCCCCCTGTTTTGCTAGGGTGTCTGCCAACCCATTTGCAGTCCTTTGACCCAACCAAATTGAGTGTTGAACCTCCTTGTAATTATGTCAATTTCTCTGTATATAAATTTGAGCTTCCAAGGTGCAGATGTAATGTTTTTAGCCCAAGAAATGACCAGCAGTGAGTCTCCTTCTATTTCTAAATCTGTTGTACCAATCTGCTCAGCCATCTTTAAACCTTGAAGTAGAGCCAAAGATTCAGCCTGTATTGAGTCACCAATACCTATTGGTCCTGAGAAGAGTGCCACAACTTCACCTAGATGATTTCTAATAACACCCCCTATACCTGCCCTTCCCGGGTTGCCAAAGGAACTCCCATCAAAGTTTAGTTTTAGTTTGTTCAGTGCAGGTGGCTTCCACTCTGCTCTCACAACTTCTTTGGGTACATCTGTCTGTGCTACTTAAGTCCAGCTTCTTAGAATCTCATTCGTGGAGAAGTTTTTGAATAGTTCCATGGTCATCACCCAATGTGCAGTTCTGATTTTTATGGTTTCAATGACTTCCTCCTTTGATTTACTTTTTTCAGAAAAGAGTCTTTGGTTTCTTTCCTCCCATATAGTCCAAACCACAGAATCTCTTCCTCCCATATTTCTCTCATCTTTCTCTCAACCGAGTTCATCTTCAGAATGTTGAGCCCTGTTTTTTCTTTGGCAAGGGCTTGAAAGCACAGTAGCCAGGTTCAAAAGAGATTCTGTGTTTTAGCATACCTATTTTTCCATATTGATAGCTTTTGTGCTCATCCGATCAAATCTTGAATGGACAACTCAGTAATTTTACCTTCACCATTAACCTCATTAACAGAATAAGGGGCAAAGTGCTGAAATCCAGATGATCAGGAGATCATTTTTGGCTTATTCAAAACAAAGTTCTAATTTGGGAAGTCTCAAGAATTGTCAAAATAAGTAATAGCCAAAAGCAAAGTTTCACTCAAAAGGTTTATGGCATGGAATAGAATGGATGTAACCCAAGGTTCAACTCAATTTATAAATTTGCTCCATTTTTGATTCATCACCATCTTCATCATGTAATCCTTGTCCCAACTATATGGAGCCAGCTACATGAATCCTGTTTTTCCATTCCTTGCTCCAATTTTGATTGAGAAGGCAAAAATATTCTTTTTTTTTTTTTAATTGATAAGCACAAAAAAATGTACTAAGAAAGTGTAAGATGATGTACATCATGAGCATTGAAACAAAAATATATGCATCCCATCTCCAAGTTCCAGTTGCTTCCCAACTATAAGCTACATGGATAGGATGTATATATTGACTCTCAATATCTCATTTTTTGTCATGCTTGGATTTTTTTTTTGATCAATAACAACAGCTTCATTAAATTAAGAGAAGAGAGGGAAAAGAATACAAAGGGAGATAAAATAACTTAGCTCCCCAAAAACAGAAAACACAGGGAATGCAAAGAAAAATTAAAAACTAGCCCAGAAAACAGCCTCCCTATTCACTCCTTGCTTGGCCAACCCATCCGCTAATGAGTTGGCACTCCTCTTCACCCAGCTGTACTGAATCTCAATG